GGGAGCACCGCAAGGTCTGCCCCGGATGGCTCCGGAGCCACGGAAAGCGGACCGGCAGCGGGGATGGAGCGGGGGAGTCCCGCGGGGCGGCTGCTGCCAGGATAGCTCGGAGCAGCTAAACTTCCCGGGCTGGAAAATAACTGAGACGGTGCTGCGGAAGGGTCTGGAGCACAGATCTGCTGAGGGAGCTGGAGGTGCTCATCCTGGAGAAAAAGGAGGCTCAGCGGGGGACCTTATCGCTCTCTGCGACCACCTGGAAGGAGGTTGTAGCCAGGTGGGGTTTGGTCTTTTCACCCTGGTAACAAGTGATAGGACAACAGGAAATGGCCTCAAGTTGCACAAGGGGAGGTTTAGATCGGATATCAGGAAATATTTCTTCACCAGAAGGGTTATCAAGCACTGAAAAGGCTGCCCAGGGCAGTGGTGGCGTCACGAGAGTTGCAGGGCTGATTTTTTCCAGCTCAAAGCGTTCATCAGATCACGGCCATGGGAAGGGGATCAGGGTCACCACTGACGCCTTCCCCCCTCGGTCCCGGGCAGGCAGCACTGAGCCTGTCCCTTCTCAGATCGACTTGCAGGGGGCAGCAATACCCAGAGCAGCACTGAGCATGGTGGTGAACTGGATAAAACTGTCTTTTAAAAATACCACAGCCAAAAAAAAAAAAAAAATCGAAGTGTAATCCCATAAAGAGGCCCCTCAGACTGTAAGAAGTAGCCTGGGATGGGGAGAACTGAAGAGGGAGGGAACTTTTATAGCACATAAAATAATCACCTCTCTATGACAATCCCTTGATAAGCAAAGGTGCAGAAGTCTTGCCAAAAATAATGAAGTCCTCAATTTCTTTTTTTCCCACAGAATTTTTTTCCCTCCCTTTGCACAAGACCACCACAGAATCCACTTTAATTTATAGGACTTTAATTTTTATTTATATTGCTTCTTGCCTTCTTCCAGCAGGCATTTTCACTCGTATCTTCTGCAGGGTGTGTTTGAGGGGCTGGCAGGGACACATATTTCATAGTTAGGGCAGCCCCATAACTATAAAAACAAAAAATAGTTTTGTCAGGTCTGAGTAAAGTGCTCCTCTGAGCAAGTTGTTGACGTAAATTAAACTTTATACGCTGCACTTGATCTAGTGCTGGAATTTCTCTGCTCCAACCTAGGCCCTGGCTTGCTGTTACCTTCTCACCATGTTGCAGAAAGGTGAATAACTGCTGAGGTCCATTAATTGTCATAATTATGCTTGTCAGTCTTTTGTTCAAGTCGTTCTTGACAGGTAAATGTATCTGGTGATATGCAGGCAGCCTCTGACTTGAACTATTCTGCTGTAAGGAAGAAATCTGAGCCCTGCAAGGAGCCCTGGAGCTTCGCAGAGGTTTCCATGTGGAGGTTCAGCTCCGCCCGAGGTAACATGTTTGCAGGAACACACAGGGCAGCGTTCAGCCCAACAGGCAGATCCTGCCTTCCCTGCAGCCCAGCAGCCTTTAATAACCCACTGAAGTTTGGCTAATGACTCCAAGGGGCATCTGTGTGCCAGACCCAGCAATCCATGCTTTTTGCAGAGTTAATCCATTTTGTTGCCACAGTCCTGCTCAGTACGAGAATGAGGTTTTACACAATAATCTTCAGAAATCCACTGAAATTACCCTCAGAGCAATGCAGCAGAAGGGAAGCTGTCCCATGAGCAGATCAGTCCTTCTGGCAGCTCACGTTTGTTTTGTTCAGACAATTTACAGCTCTGATGTCACCAGTGATGTGGTGTAGGTAGGACATCTGGGCAGGCAAACTGGTTTCCCAGAGGAATGGGTTCAGAGCCCAGCTTGGGTTCACTCAGGTCAGGGGCCGGATTTGAAATTGCACAGAAGTCTGGGAGAGCGATGGTGTAACCATTTCTGTTCGCTTTTAGTCCATCCAAAATAGCAACGAGTGGTTCCCTTATTGCCTGTCAGGCCAAACAATTCTGGTGACAGACCATTGCAATTCTTTTGCTTCCTGATCCTTAAGCATCTGCACATGCTTAATCATCTTCGCAGCACAGATCCCTGCTCTTAGCTCACAGAACCCCCTGATCCTCCCTGTGCATCAGCCTCCCACTAAACTGACATTTTCAGCTACTCTCTAGACTTGATTTGTAAAATTTTGTGAGAAATAAATTTGTGCAAGACGAGCTGTGAGTATAAATCTCCATCTCAGGCAAAAAAAAGAAACCTGCCACGACACAAAGGTTCCTCTGTTGCATGTGTAAGGGAGACAGTGCTGGGCAGGAAAGTAGGAAGTGCAACAAGCTCAAAGCAAAAGGGAACTGTGCTGGGAATGTGGCTGGCTGCAATGCAGGAACCAAAAACCACCAAAACCAAAGATATGCATGTCAGATCCTTTCCCCTCACAACCTTCTGTGGTGGTATTGCTTTCATGGCAATAGATGACTTGAAGGTGATTTAATCCATGCCCTTTTCATGAGCCTGAGCACCACCTTCTCTGCAGTGAAATGCTTTTAGATGGGGTCTGGTCAGCATGCAGTGCCCATTTATAGTGCTGGCTTTGGAAACACAGCTTCACTCTTCCGTTCACTGCAGGAAAACTCATTCCAAGCATTACTGAAGCCTTGCTTAAATCCTGTTTTGGGAATTTAAGTGGGATGGGCATTTTTGTGTAGGTCCTTCCCAGGGTCAGATGTGCCCTGAATGTCTGAAAAAGGCAGCACAGACCCTGGCAGCCTCCTGTGGTGCACAGCAAGGAGAGGACTGGGACAACTCAGGTGTTCAGAACGGAGACAAAGACAAGCCTTTAACTTTTGAAAAGAGGCTGTGAGGTCATGGATAGGTTTAGCAAGTCCAGAAAGCAGTGGTGGTTCTCGAAGAGAGAGATTTGGGGAGTTCCTTTGCTCCTTTATCTCTAGCAAAGTTTACTGTAGGAGTTTTTAAGCCAAAGTTCATGTTCCTCTTGCATCCCTTGGGTATCACAGCTTTCTGCTCTGCCTTGAACATTCTCACCAAGCCTTCAAGAGTTCCCCAGCACCAGCAGGGCTGTGCTGCACACCCTACTCATGCCAAACCTGCTTTTGGATGTGCTGAGCTCCAGGGGGACCACTCCAGAAAGCACATTTTGCAAGATTCTCTCGCGAAAATTACTGATTCATTAATAACAGCGCGTAGTACAGCACCACGTGCTCCGGGGGAGAGGGTTTGATTCATTTATTCACAAATCCTCATGTAAACACCACGTAACAATTTCGTGACTCGAGAACAGGGCCCTCCTGAGTGCAGAGAGAGATGACTCAATCAATGGGTTCCTTGTCTTTTGAATACTTTGTGTCACGCAGGA